TGCGGTTCGGCAGGGGCATCGACGTGCGCTTGCGGTCGCTGCGACGCAGGTCAGCAGGCCGGTGTCGCGAGGCGGTGCTGCAGCGCTTCCGGTGCTCGGCTCATCGTGGGTGGCGCTCCAGCGTGGCGGTCGCGGGCTGCGCGACGAGGAAGGGTCCCTGGACGGCGAAGACTTGGTGACGCAGCGGTGTGCGCCAGCGTTCGCCGTCCGCGTGGTCGAGGTCGTGGCGAGGACGGACAGCATCGCGTGCTGGCGTGGATGCGACGAGCGCGGCGATGGCGGACGCACGACGCATGGGCATGGCGCAAGGGCGTGGCGTCGCTGCAAGAGAGGCTAGGGCGAGGGGGGAAGAGATGTGCTTGGTGGCGGCGGCCGTAGGGAGAGATGGCGAGGCCGAGGGTGGCGTCCGGCTTTTGTAGTGCGGGGCTTAGGGCTCGGCATAGGTCTGGCATGCCACGGGCGGCAGCGATCGCAGTGAGGAAGAACGTGGCGCGCATCGGGCGGCTGCTCGCGGGAAACTTCGAGAAGATAGGGTAGGTGAGTCGCGGCGTGGTCGAGCAGTGCGGCTTGGTGCTCGTCGCGACGTGGGGCGAGGCGCTGCGGAGTCCAGGCGCGTTTGCGTCGCGGCCAAGTTGTTTCTGCGGCTGGGGTCAGGGCGTGGCTTGCTTTCGCGAGGCGCGGCGCGGTTGGTCGCGGTGCGTACCTACGACGCGGCTTGAGGCGGGGGCCCGGTGTCATGCGCGCGGAGGCATCCAAGGGGCTGACGGCGTCACTTGGCTCGGACGGAGAACCAAGGACGGCGCGGGACGTACGGAGGAAGAAGAATGGCGGAAGCAGTGCGACGGAAGGAAACGGCATCGTTGATTTGCTTTTTCCCCAGCCGCTGACAAGCGGGTCCCGCAAGGGAACAGCCTCACATGCAGAGCGGCTTCGCTTGCATGCGGTGTACGCGGACGGAGGCGAGGTATTTCGGCTGGCCTGTGGGTCCACTGATGGAACATCGGCATGCAGCGGCGCTGCTTAGCTCTATACGGTGCTTCTGCGTGCATTGGGCACGTGAGGGCAGGATGGGTTGGTCGCTGTTGCTCCAGGGCTGGGCCGGATTGGAGGCCAAGGCCGACGAGGAGCTAGCTGGGCTCCGGTATTTGCTCATGGGGCAAAAATACGTATACACCATGCGTATAGAGCCTTGCAGGGTGCTTGTGTCAATCATGCTCTTGCTGGCTGCCTGCTACTTACGTGGTTTACGTTACCAAACAATGGGAACAGGAGTATGCAGCTGGAGTAGAGTGCTGTCGCACCTTGCGCATGCACAAGATGAATAGTAGAGGGACTTAGGGAGTGAGGGTTGTTAATTAGGAGATCAAGTAGGGATTTCGAGAGAGGTTACAAAAGAATTCAAAAGATATCTGCGAGGGACCCGACTAGGATTATTGAGGAGGGTTACTTGCTACGGACTTGTGCACTCCAAACCACAAGACTCAAACACGAGGCAACGCGAGAGCTTTGGCACATTCTACAAACAATTCTATATGCATGCAACGTTTAGTCAGTGGGTTTGACTCGAGTTTGACCTAGCATCTACATGATTCACACAATTACAGGAAAAAATTTAAAAAGTTCGTATTTTTGGCTTCTCCAAAAACCCGGGTTGTTACATTGGTGGAGCTGGAAATGGGTTAGACCGTACATGGTTGTAACAATAGCTATTTAAGCACCAAGATCAAATTAAGTTTATTCATATTCTGGTCTATCTGGATGAATAGGAAGAACTCGATAGGAGGAGCACTCACCTATGCCAATGTTGGTAGATGTCGGACAGTCCAAGTATCTCCAGCTTGGCAGCTTTTTAGTAAGAGTAAAATTACAGTACTAGGACTGTTGAAATAGAAGAGGGCTTAGTTACGCAAAAGTGAGTGGATAAACAGCACTATAGTCATACAGTGAAGAAACCAAAGTACCAAACCACCCACTCAGGAAATGGCTTGGCTTACAAGCCATACTTTTTTAGCCAACGGACAATATTTTTTTCTCACAATAAATCAGCCAACAGTACTTTCAGTCATGGCTTATCAGCCAAGCGAACAGGGCAAGTAAGCCCAAAAATTGACACCTAACGAATTAGGAAAAGATGATGCAACATATAGGTGCCCCATTGCGTCACTACATCATCTACATTGAATATATAACATAACAGAAAGAAAAAGAAGTAAAGATAGAAATACAGGTGACCACGGAAATACCTGAAACCTAGCAAATTGCCTTTATTGGGCAGTCAGAGTCCTCATTACGGTTTCAGCATATTTCCTCAAGAGTGCCGGTTGCTTTGGCCAGAAGATCTCTCATTGCTGGTTGAGCATACATCCACATCTCTACTAGAAATTCCATCCTTTCCACTAGAGAATAGTAGCTGAACCCTGTTCTCCTAGCTGCCGTGCCAGTATTTCTAAGGCTGCTATGTACACCACTTCAATTACAATCCTTCTTCAAATGTTGAGGGATCAGAACACACGCTTTCCAAGGTTGCTTATGGTAGGACCTAGGAATCATAGAGGATTGAGTGGTGACCCCAAATTGGGAAAGGGAGAATGGTTAGCCCACCACTCAGGGTGTGTGACTCCGTGGTTGGTGGACGCAGAAGACAAATAGCCAGAACCTTTTTGCAAATCTAGTAACCAGGAAAAGGGTTGCCAGCCAACAGTTTTGGGTGTGCCAACTTTCCCAGCGAACAGGATTTCACTGAGGTCCTGTCACGCAATAATAGTTTTGACAGCAATACGTGAGGCAGAGATTGACAGAAGAAAGTGCCCGTGCTAGTATGTCTGTAGTGGCACAAGTGCTTCCACCATAAGGCTTTAATATATTAAAAAAAAGTTAAAATGATTCAGGAAAGGAGCTTTTTTTTCCAGATCGTTGCCATACTAATTACAAAAGGGGGAAAAGAGAACTTTTCGGGCTGCCTAGCTATCCTAACGTGGGACTTCATGAAGATGCCATCCCCAGCTAAAAATGGAAGATGCCTCTAATGATATCAGATTCAGTGGCAAGCATGTAAACCTGAAATGTTTCTTTCGTGGCCAGACCCCCACCACAAGCAAATTCTACTGTGCGCAAACCTGATGTGGGGCACTGAATATTAGCGCACATTAGACTTTGATGTGGGCAAAACTCTAACAAGATGACCTGATAGGTACCCAAAATATCCTCCCAGTATTATTGTGAGTTTGACAACAATAAAGGACCACTTTGCCACTGAACTTTCATTTCCATTGTTCATAAGCATGCACTCATGAAAAGACCACAGGAAAGTGTCCTAGATAGTGAGAAACAGCTTATTTTAACAGTACAACTACAGTTAAGCTGTGCCAACAATCAGTACTGTAAACCATGACAATTCTCAATGCACATGGTTAATTTCCTATAAATAATGCACAAGTAGCATCCATGTATCTTGAATTAGATAGTGGCCAGTATGACTTAAACTGTAACATTTTTAGGGTAACTAATACTAATGGCATTTCATATTAGCATCCATAGGAATAGGAGAGTAATAACTTATTTCACTAGCGGTTGACTTCGGTCCTCAGTTTGGCATTTGTTTGATTAAGGGGAATAGATACATGCCATGAAAACATAGAATGGTCAACTCAAATAATATAGAAGGTTAACTACACGTTTGGAAGACAGATAAATGGGATTTTCAACCTGAAAATACAAAGTTATGTCCTTGTAATTGTGATATTAATGTTACTTACCAGATAACTAAACAACCATTTCAATTATCAATATGGATAGATATCAAAGGAAAATCTTGAAAAGTTGAACTTGCCTTCAATTCACCTTATCACATCAGTTTGCTTCAGAAATGACTATTATCTGCACTCGGCTACAATTATGTTGGCCTTGAACAACTTGTATGAGACTATGAGTCAACGGACTGAGTGACCTTAGTGAAAATAACAGAAACAATAGGGTGAGTTAGCTCCAAGAATAAAATAATGTATCTGCAAATGGCTCAAACATCTGATGTGGATAAACATTGCCTTGTATTTTTTCGAGAACAATATTTTCCATAGTAATCTTGCTACCAGACTTCATAACAAACCGGTTCAAATGAAAGAGAGTTATTGCATGTCACTACTGCAGAACGACAACAGAAACACTTTAGAAATACTGTAGTATAATATGAGCACCAAAGTATACTGAGAAATCACTAGCAACAGTTTCGATCCGATAGGCCTATTCCCATGAGTGGTGAACTCTGTTTGCCACTGAGAGAGCTTCAATCAGTTACAAAATCAAGCTTGTTGGGGGTAACATAATATGACATTACACGAAATCGTGAGATTTGAGTCTGAGAGGACAAAACGTTGATAGGAATGTAGCAGTGTAGTGGCCTCAATAACATCACCAACTATATGTATATACACAAGAATTATCAACATGTTCACAAAGAAAAACAAGGAAATCTAGCAGGTCTACCAGTATGCCCCATCTCATCACTAAAGTTGGGCAATCTGACCATCCTCTAGAAACAAAGCCTTTGCCTTCCAATGATAGATTCTTTTCTAAGTTTTCTAGACAACTTATTGAAGGTAATTTTTTTAAGAGAAGAACAGGATAACCCTTTTAAACAGTAGATTATTAAGCTAGAGCATTCAAAAGAAGCTAGCTGTAGAATTCAAAAGGAAGTACTACTCCCACAGCATCACTAGAAGCTGGAAGCTAGAAGGATGCCATCAAGCAGCATGTCATCGGATAGACTGTACATACATATTGATTTTCATAGTTAATCTTCAACAAATTCTGAAATGGAAAAAGGAGGGTCGTACAAACAACAGTTGATACAATGAATTTAAGTTTAAGACTACCAAAGCAAACTTTGATTGTGATTTTGTCAATAGAATTGACAGATAAGGAGAGCATAAATATGTTGATATTGTGTAAATCAACAAACATGGGACTAATTCTTCCTTATGTGAAATATACGTTGTAAACAGGTGGGTGAGCGTGGTGTCCAAATGTCTGGAGGACAGAAGCAGAGGATTGCTATTGCCAGAGCTATCCTTAAGTCACCCAAGATCCTCCTCCTTGATGAAGCCACAAGTGCATTGGACACAGAGTCAGAGCGTGTTGTGCAAGAGGCACTTGACCTGGCTTCTGTGGGCAGGACAACCATTGTCATTGCACATCGGCTCTCCACAATCCGGAATGCTGACATGATTGCTGTGATGCAATATGGTGAGATCAAGGAGCTGGGATCCCATGATGACCTCATTACCAATGAGAATGGCCTGTACACATCTCTTGTCCGCCTTCAGCAGACCAGTGATTCAAGGGAGGCCAATCAGGTTGGTGGAACTGGAAGTACATCTGATGCGGGGCAATCTAGCAGCCACAGCATGAGCAGGAGGTTCTCTACAGCTAGCAGGTCAAGCTCAGGACGGTCAATGGGTGACGCAGAAAATGATAATATTACCGAGAAGCCAAAGCTTCCTGTCCCATCATTCAGAAGGTTACTGATGCTTAATGCACCAGAGTGGAAGCAGGCTCTGATGGGAAGTTTCAGTGCAATTGTGTTTGGAGGCATACAGCCTGTATATTCATATGCCATGGGCAGCATGATCTCAATCTACTTCTTGGCAGACCATAATGAGATCAAGGACAAAACAAGGACCTACGCACTCATCTTTGTTGCTCTTGCAGTGCTCTCATTCTTGATCAATATTGGGCAACATTACAACTTCGGTGTCATGGGGGAATACCTCACCAAGAGAGTGAGAGAACAGATGCTTGCAAAAATCCTTACTTTTGAGATTGGGTGGTTTGACCGTGATGAGAACTCCAGTGGTGCCATATGCTCACAACTTGCCAAGGATGCCAACATCGTAAGTATACGAACCAAAGATAAGCTTATGCTTATTATAAAAAATAATACCTGACAATTCATATACTTCTTTTGGCAGGTGAGGTCTCTTGTGGGTGATCGAATGGCTCTAGTGATCCAGACAGTTTCTGCAGTTCTCATAGCCTGCACTATGGGTCTGGTGATCGCTTGGCGTTTGGCCCTTGTCATGATAGCAGTGCAACCCCTTATCATTGTTTGCTTTTATGCTCGCCGTGTCTTACTGAAGAGCATGTCCCAGAAATCAATACAGGCTCAATCTGAAAGTAGCAGGCTAGCAGCTGAGGCTGTCTCCAATCTCCGCACCATCACTGCTTTCTCATCCCAGGAGCGCATCCTACGCCTCTTTCACCAAGCACAAGATGGACCACGCAAGGAAAGCATCCGACAGTCATGGTTTGCAGGACTGGGCCTTGGCACCTCCATGAGCCTCATGACATGCACATGGGCCCTTGATTTCTGGTATGGTGGCAAGCTCGTGGCTGAGCATCACATAACTTCAAAGGCACTATTCCAGACCTTCATGATACTAGCAAGCACAGGGCGTGTGATTGCAGATGCAGGTAGCATGACAACAGACCTTGCTAAGGGTGCTGATGCAGTAGCTTCAGTGTTTGCTGTTCTTGACAGGGAAACCGAAATTGACCCTGACAACCCTGAGGGATACAAACCAGAGAGGCTAAAAGGTGAGGTTGACATCAGAGGAGTTGACTTTGCATACCCGTCAAGGCCAGATGTGATTATCTTCAAAGGTTTCTCCTTGAGCATCCAACCAGGCAAGTCAACAGCCCTTGTTGGGCAAAGTGGTTCTGGCAAGTCGACTATCATTGGGCTCATAGAGAGGTTCTATGACCCACTTAGGGGGATAGTGAAGATCGATGGTAAAGACATCAAAACATACAATCTGAGAGCCCTGCGGCGACACATTGGATTAGTCAGCCAGGAACCAACACTATTTGCAGGTACAATAAGAGAAAATATTGTGTATGGTACAGAAACAGCAACTGAAGCAGAAATTGAGAATGCTGCAAGGTCTGCGAATGCACATGACTTCATTAGCAACCTCAAGGATGGATATGACACATGGTGTGGTGAGAGGGGTGTACAGCTTTCAGGAGGCCAAAAACAACGCATTGCAATTGCCCGTGCCATCCTGAAGAACCCTGCTATCCTGCTACTGGATGAAGCTACAAGTGCACTGGACAGCCAGTCAGAGAAGGTGGTACAAGAGGCATTGGACCGAGTGATGGTTGGCAGGACAAGTATTCTGGTGGCGCACAGGCTCAGCACAATCCAGAACTGTGACCAGATCACTGTGCTTGAGAAAGGAATTGTTGTGGAGAAGGGCACACATGCATCCCTTATGGCTAAGGGTCCCTCTGGAACATACTTCGGATTGGTCAGTTTGCAACAAGGAGGCAACCAGCACTGAGATTGTTGCATGAGAACACAGCAGTACTTACAAATTTGCTGCCCCATTCACATGATGTATTACTTGGATCAACCTGCAAGAGATATCTAGCCTATCACAACTTGCTTGGGACTATAAGCTTTGTTTTTGTTGTTGATTAAAACGCAAGATGGTCCAGCAGGCGATTTGAAATTTATGTGACAGCGGGGTGTTTTTCTTCCCATTGTTCTATTAGCGCACATAAGTGTGCCGAGGATATGTATTGTAGTTGTACAACAGCCAGGAAATCTCAGATAAGATGTACATTAGGTATTATTTCATCTTATTCTCTATTGATTTGTGTATTTGAAATTAGGGAAAATTGGTAGTGTAGCATTGAAAGATCGTGATCTCCGTAAAATACCATCAAAAGTTTGCGCCCCCGTAAAATACCACCGAAAGGTTAGACCATAAACTGAAAGTAGCATTCTGTTAAAATGAAGGAATGGAGCTGTTATCTCGGTCAAAAATAACCCCCCGACCAGTGATCGCGTGCGCAACATTTGCCATGGCCTGGGCGTGGCCGGGCCGGAGCTCGCCCACGCGTCGTCGGTGCCGGCGTCGAAGCAGCAGCCGAGCTGGTCCGCGGCGGGCATCGTGGTCCGCCTGAGGCTTCCTCGCGCGTGGACGCCGGAGGAGGACGCGCGCCTGGCCAAGTGAACAGCACTAAGGCCTCCGCGGCGCTCCCGAAGGAGATCAGCCACGCGCTAACCGAGCTTCGTGGCGAGACCGCCGGTCGAAGGGTCTGCTGCCGCACTTGCCGAGGCCGTGGCCCTAGAGCTGGCACCCTCGGCGGCCACCGCCGCCGCCCAGCGCCTGCACCTGCGCCACGCCGGCTTCTGGGGCAAGGTGTGCGTGGCGGTGCTCGCCGCCATGGCCGCCGCTGACATCGCGCTTGCCGCGCCAACGAGTTTGTGCCCCCACCTAATCGTGACCGTTTGTTACACGTACATACGTAATAGCTGTCGTTACCTTGTTTTGCATTGCTGCATCGTTGTTAGTTTGTTACAGTACAATATTAGAATGGCTCGGCGCTGCATTGCTGCACGTTTTGCTCCATTCCTCTGACGAAACTGAATTAACATCTCGGCCCTGCTGTATGCATAGTTGTGACTTGTGAGTCACGGGGCAGCACCCAATCGAGTGGAGGCAGCGCGCAGGTCCACGCGGAGGCGGTGCACAGGGGTGGCTAGCGGCCTGGCGGAGGCGCCGCGCAGTGCGCAGACGCCCGTGGCAGCTGGTGGAGGCGGTGCCCAGCCCCGCATGGCGGCCGGCAGAGGCAGCGCGAGACGCCCACGGTGGCCGCGCGCTGACACCCGCGACGACCGGCGGAGGCGGTGTCAGGGGCGCCAGCGGCAGACCCGAGCGCGGAACCGAGAGCACCGCGTGCGTGCTTCCCGTCTCGGTCTCGGATGAGTGAGAAAGGATAAGTTAAGGGCAAATAGGTAATTTCATATTTGGGTTTAAGGTCAGATTGACTTTTCTATACACAAAAGCCAATGGAATGTTACTTCTAGTTCACGGTGCAACCTTTCAGTGATATTTTACGGGGGCATAAACTTTTGATGGTATTTTACACATATCGCGATCTTTCGATGCTACGCAACTAATTCTCCCTTGAAATTATTACATTAGCTTTTATTTCATCTAATTCTTCTGTGAATTAGGTATTTGAAATCTTTATGCCTATTGGCCATGAAGATTAGTAAATTCCTAAATCCATGGTGGCAGAACAGATGCAAACAAGAAAGAAAACACAGAAAACAATTAATTGAGCACAAGCTATCTTTTCAAGTATCAGCTTATAGTTTTCAGGTTTGCATCGTAATTAAAATCATTTAGTATGAGCTAAAGTTAAACAGGATCTTCATCAACTACGCATTCACGCCTGCTATTTCTAAGCTCACATATATGTAGATGCTTCTTAGCTGAGAAGCCTAACAAATAGTATTAGCAAAGAACACAACTCATGTAGCACTCCTAAGGCCCACATCCACAATTCTACCATTGCTTAAATACGCACTTGAACGGATATGATCAAATTTTGGACTGCCATGTCATAATAATCAAAACTCCAACCATACGACAAAACTTTCGGTGCAGCTATTTCAGACACTAAAGGGCTGCTGGCCAGGCCTGCTGATGCGGGATAATGCTTTTGAATTCACTCGTATAGTCGTATGGGGGGAAAAAAATAGGTGGCTAGTATGGTACATCCCGCATTCAGCGAAATAGAAAGTGGTGTATCGCCTGGTCGAAGCGAGAGAAGCCGGTCGGCGTCCTGGTAGCACGGTCGAGCCAGTTCGGCCGTCAGGCGCGCGGCGGCGGCAGGGACAGAGGCAGGCGAATGGTTTCCGCCTCCGACGAGGTAACCGTGTAGTAGGCGTGTACGCCTTCACGGGCTTCCTGCGGCCTAGTTTCGGTTTAGGCCCATACATGAGATGATTGGATCAACCGAGAAGCCCTTGTCTTTCGCCGTGGAGTCTTCTAAGCCCAGCCCAAGGTAAGCTGTGTGGTACACCCACCGATGAACATAGGATTATACGACGGTTGTCCGGACGGGAACGGAGGCATCCAAAGCCACGCCGAACCGACCCGCCCCTGCCGCACGTCGTCTCCCAGACGCTGTCTCCCGCACTCATCCTTATCCTCACCTCGCTCACTCTCGCAGCCGTTCCTCTCCATTCTATTGCCGCCTCGACCGCCGGGATGAACGCCGCGCCCAGTCGCTGCCGCCCCGCCCACCCGCCGGCGCTCCCTCCCTCCCGCGACTGCATTGGTACCCGCGCCCCCAGTGACACGGCTCCCGCTCCTCCCACCAGAGACGAGGACGACGGCGGCTCCGACGAGGTAGGTCGGTTCTTCTCCCTCCTTCTCCTCCTTTGGATCTGAGCGCTCCTCCTCCTCCTCCTCTAGATCTGAGCCCTCCTCCTCCTCCTCTGGATCTGAGGAACGTGGCGGTGGCTAGGGTTCCGGCGAGTTCTGTTGTAGTAGCCTTGTTTTGCTGTTGCAACAAGTAATATTTCTTTATTGCATTAGTCTTTTTTTTATTTCTGATGTTGCATCTCGCATTGCAGTAGCCTTATTCTGATGTTGTAACAAGTAATATTTCTCTGTTGCATTAGTCTTTTTTCTGATGTTGCTTTTCTCGCATTGCGCTTTATTCTGTTTGTTGCAGTAGCCTTGTTCTAATGTTGCAACAAATAATATTTCTTTGTTGCATTAGTCTTGTGTTTTATCTTGCATCTCGCATTGCAGTAGTTTTGTTATGTTGTTGTAGTCGTCTTGTTCTGATATTGAGTAGACTTGTTCTGATGTTGCAAACAAGTAATACTTGTGATGTTTGCATCTCGCATTGCTCTGTGTTGCAATAGATCTTTCGATGGAAATTTTCTCATTAGACATTCGAGTGATGGAGCACGGTGGGGATGGGACGTGGAGGGCAATGGGCGCGCAGGTGATGGCGGCACGGCGGGGAATGGCGACGCGACGAGGCACGGCGGCGCAGCGGGGTCGGTCCGCACGTGGGGCGCTCATTTTTAGATGCGGGGCGTGCTCGTTCTATCCGCATCGGATAGGTGGTCCCGTGGGGCTCGTTCTATTCGCATTGGATAGGTGGTCCCATGGGGCGTCCGAACGTCCGGGCGCTAGTTGTGTCGATGAACATGTACTACATCATCAAGGCTGCATTGCAGGACTGGCAGAGGCAGCAGCGATTGCTTTGGCTGCAGCTATCACTGCTCAGTTGGGACTCCATGACACAAATTTCCTTCTTTTTATAATGGAAACAAAAGTTCCGGCTTCATCGTTCCTCTGGGAGGAAGATTCAGACCAATTATTACAAACTCACACTAAAAAAAAGAACCAATCCTGATGTTCAAGGCGATAAGAGAAACTCCACCCATAAAAAGCAAACAGAAACATGTACTAGACTCTATAAGCCTGCCTGACTCACGATGGAAGTCTATGACATAAATTTCCTATCGGACAATGTCACAATGAAGAATTAGTTCGATTCTTCAACTCTGACGAACATGCAAACCCGCCTGAGTGGAGAATCAAACATCTTACTCAACAATTTGTAAACTGCACACAGCATAGAAGCACGAGGGTCTTCAAAGTGCATCGGACTCAAAATGAAGACCGCTGATATGCTCGCAAAGCAGGCTTTTCTAGACTTTCAAGCAGGCCCTGTTCCTTTGAACTTAGCTCATCCTCATCGGTGCCCAGTTTTGCAGGCACTGCAATCTGTAATGATGAATTCTTTATCCATACTCTCAGCTAGATGCTGTTAAATATAAGTTCTTTTGTTGTAAAAAAAAAGGTAAGCTGTGTAGAATTTTGAAAAAAAAATTACTTCTCTCAAGTACCGTGGTTGTTCGACTTTTCTCTCTTGAACTATAAAATCAGTATTTTTACCTCCTCAACTTTTAAAACCGTTTTTTTTTTCAGCGATGATTTTAATGGTGGTTTTGTTGGGTGTCACGTTACGGAGGAGTAAATCATACCAAATTGAAATTTCAGAGAAGTAAATTGGACTATAAATATTTTATAAAAAAAATCTAAATTAATAAAAAATTATCAAAATATTTTTGTATGGAAAAACTAATGCAATTAAAAAATCCTAAAATATGGTTCAATATTAGAAAATTCATAGAAAATTTGTTTTACCATGGAAAATTATGAAAACTATTTTCATATTTTTTTCTTCTAAAATCATCCTCTATCTTATAGTGTCTAGCTTGAAATTGTTCGAATCTTGATGAACTTATTTTAGTGCTTATTTGCTAATATAAGCTCTCGTTATCTATTATAATTAGTCGATGTTGATCGCCTGACTACGTTAAAGTGTCACTAGGTTGACACTGGTCCCATGCCTTAGATAAAATTTCAAAGTAGCTATCTGTATGCACACTGTCGAACGACGCTACACTAGCTCTTCTTTGTAGTCTGGATGATCAACATCGAGTAATTATAATAGA